CACACACACACACACACACACACTCCGTCTAGCCACACCCAGAGCCACACATTAGCACCTAGGAGCAGATGGCAGGGGCCACCCAGCTGACGTCAACCTTAAGTGGCCACCACCAAAAAAAGGAGGCAATTAGCATTAGTCTGCATCACCCGCTTACATGGAGGAGCCGGCAATCTCGAGGGCAGGGGGGGTGCAGCTGTGAGGGCTTCAGCACAAACCAGGCAGCGAGGGGCCAGACCCACAAGTTAAAGCACCACTCACAAAAAAAACAAACAGAAGCCACACACAATTCCCAGCTGCACACTATTCATACACAGGATCAATAAAACTCAGAAAGACAGCAAAAGGGCAACCATAAAGGGCAACCATAAAGGGCAAGATTAAAGCATTTTTAATCCATTGCTGAAAATAAATACGAAAAAAAATTCCAGTCAGTATTTTCTGCAGTCGACATCTGGCATTTATAATAAGCCTGAATTATCTCTATAAAGACCCATAAAAAATTATATTAAATGACATCAAATCCCGAATTGCGACCCAGACACCTTAACTTCTCTTTGGAGAGACAACGGGGGATGGGTTCGCATCCCAGGGATACAGGCAGAGTGCTTAAAACACAGCTCTTTCATGGCATGTCTATCAGTCGGGGGGGCAGGGGTTAAAGTAGGGATTAAAAAAAGTAGAAAAGTCAGGGCATGCCCCCAGATCCCAGGAGGGACTGCAGATCCAGCATGCCTCCGATTGGCTGTGGTTCTCTAAACTCCATTAAGCTTCATGCAGACCGGCACCATATTAGAGCAGAGACAGGAATATATATTTTTTTAAAAAAGCCTCTTCTACATATATGTACCTAATGCACAAAAGTGTGACATTATGCATATTAACCCGTTTCGCCTTTTGGAAAGAAAAAAAATAGGACAGTGAAGAACATTAATCGATATACATGAAAGCTTTCAATCAATAGCAAATAACGCCAAAGTAAGTGATTTAAGCAAAAATCCTGTGGAAAAGTAAATAAATAAAATGGAAATAGGAATACAGCATCAGGGAAAGATAGAATTTCAGAGACCTGACAATACGAAAAAAATGAAAAAGTCACATTAACTTCAGCCACGAGAAAAACTTGGTTGCAGCTGCGTCTCACAATGGCACGCATGGCTGCATGAAGACCAAGAAAGAAGAGGCCACCAGAGATGGACTTCAACACAACCAAGAGTCTGTTACTATCAAATAGGGATCAAATAAAATCCTTTTGGCTTCTTAGCACGGTTTGCTGCACAAGGGCGAAAAAAAAAAGGTTTAAAAAAAAAAATAAAAATGTGCCAAGTGCATCGTGAAATTTGGCCTCCGGATGGCGCCAGGAAGCACGTGTGACGCCATCAGTCATCTACGCCGATGTTGCGGAAGAGGTAAGACATGGACTCCCCGTTGTGGATGCGACGGATGGCCTCTGAAAGGATCATGCTTATGTCTACCGTCTTGATCTTGGGGCACTGGAGTTTCTGAATCTCATGGGGGATGGTGTTGGTCACCACCACCTGCCAGGGGCAAGAACATAAAGAGATAAAAGACTAAATTAAACCTCCTTAGACAAGCTTGAAGAGAACAACACAAATTGCACAAAGAGCATTAAAAAAAACAGGAGTACTTTGGTGCATTTTGGGGTTAATGTAGCGGTATTTGGGAATGTTTAAATTAAAGACTACAGCACTAGGGGGCGACACAGCATGGCCACCAGCCAGGAGCTGACCTCGTCGATGGCGGAGTCCTCAATGAGCTGAGGAGCGTCGGATGACAGGATGCCGTGTGTCGCCATGACGTAGATCTTGTAGGCTCCGCGTTCCTTAAGGGTTTCGGCCGCCGCCAGGAAGCTGTCCACGTCGTCGATGATGTCGTCCTGCGTACATTTTTACGAAGCCAAATCTATCGCTCTCTGTCTTTTCACCAGAAATGCTGCAGTCACCAGATGCATAGTTTTTCAGTTAGGATCAGAAGTAACTTGGGATCCTCAGAGTCCATTGCTGTACCTTAAAAGGTACAATTACCTACAGCTAAGGGTACAGACGGCTCTTGAGGGTACAGCGCCAGTGACAAGCCAAGATCCTGGGAATGTTGGACTCTGCGCCTGTGATCAGAAGGTCGCCAGTTCAATTCCCAAGGTCGGCAGACTGACACCACCATTGAGTCCCTGAGTACGGCCTCAAACCCCCAGCTCCAGGGCCCCCCCACGCCGGCTGACCCTCCACTGTGACCCCCATGCTTTCTCTTCCCTGTCTGTGTGTCTCATGGAAAGCAAGATGGCGTAGGCGTAAAGAGCATTTCCCCTCAGGGATGAACAAAGCGGCACTGTTCCATATTCTGTTCTAAAACAGTACCATCACATGATATGACGTATGACCAATGAAAAGCCATTACTTATGGATTTTTGAAACACCGACTAATACCTATGTACACAAATTCTAATACTCAGTAACTAAGCAACACTGACATGTTTATACCTGAGCCCCAACTGGTAAATACACCTCTGCATACCTACAGATATGTCTCAAGAAGGGCAGAAGAACCTCGGTAACACTTTGCGTCACACAGGAAGCTGCCTGGTTCACCTCCAGGCGTCTGACTGCCTTTGCACATTCCCACAAGCTCACCCAGTGTCTGAAAGTGCCTAAGGTACAAGCCCAGTCAAATTTTTTGAGCAGGAGTGGACAATAACACTCTGCGAATTAAGCTCAAACAAAGTGAATGTTTAAAACCGAGAAACATCCATTAACTCCCTAAGCCAAGAAAAGACACAATCACAGCAATTACAGCAATTATACAATTACAGCCTCGTTATACGGTGCTTTGTCTAGCTGGATGCCATCCATTTGGCTAGATTCTCCATGGACCGTTCTTTTTACAAAATGATGTAAGCCGGGCGTGACATCCCATTCTTCAGACAATGCCGGGTTTAGCTTGAGAACACGTCATGTTTACAACTGACAAACTACAGTACAGGATCCAAAAGCTTCCACTAAAGGAACCGCCCACCAAATTGTGATATTGATACTTCATTAATCCCCACGGGGAAATTCCCCTACTGAGACACAAACACAGGTGAGCGCAAGCTTGGGGGTCACAGCGAAGGGGCAGCCAGTTACGGTGCCCGTGGAGCTGGGGGTTAAGGGTCTAGCTCAAAGGTCCATTTATACGTGACTATTCTGCTGAGGCTGGGCTTGAACCGACGACCTTCTGATCACAGGCACAGAGGTTTATCTCACTGAGCCACACATCATATGAGGAAAACAAATATATAGCTACAAATGAGCATATATCCAACTGAACAGCAAAGACTGCAGCTATCGAGGCAAGTTATACTCAGAAATGTTTAAGGAACCAGATCACGCCCCAGTTCTCTTTTTAGATTTGATCTCTGAAGCAGGCAGGACTATTTCCAGCTTCTTATAATGACAATTTCACTGCTTCCTGAACCGGTGGCCATTAGCCAGTTCTTGGTGAACTGCTAATGCACAGATGATGTCATTGTTTGGAGTCATTTGTCTGGCAAATGGGATTTACAGTTCCCCTCATAACAGGCTTCTGCCAAAACACCCCACCTGTGTCCATAAACAGTGGAGTCGTTTTAATAGGTACTCTGCGCTCGTCTCGGCAAACGCAGATCACCATGACGGCAAATCCGGAGTTATGGACTCAAGTCCAGTCAGATATGGGGCTGAACTCACCACAATGATAGCGATGCGGCCGCCCACGTCCCCGACCACTGTGATGGGGGGCTTCTCTTTGGGAATCAGCCCTGTAAGCAAATAATGCAGGTGTCAAGCAAATAAACACCAACACTTAAGTCAGGTACTTCTTTAGCAATGGCACTTCCCTACTCGCTAGGGCTGCACGATATCGCATCGCGATTGTGACCCCCAAAACTTAGTAACCGGTATAAATTCCGGCATATCCTTATGTTTAATAAAAATGTGGCACTTCAAACTGAAAAAAGTACTGCAACACCACGACATCATTTTTACCATTTTTATCCATGATATCTCCTCCTTCAAAAGATGTTGTGACTGTTGACCTGTCCTTTCTTCACCGCCACTTCAGTGCTTATCACTTCCATGATTTACCAAAACAGTAGCATGTGGCGTGCTCCGCTAACCGAATTTAATAAACAAGGATGTGCCAAATTTTCACAGATTACTAACTTTTGGGCATCACATTATGGCTCTCATTAATATTTCAGACGCGCTATTAATCTGCTTATCAAATTGTGGGCGCAAGTAAACGTCCATATAGTACCAAAAAGCCAGTGTCCGGACAAACGTTTACGCCCATCATCTAAAGCCCAGGTGATTATTGCGCATGTGCATATATCGAGATTACATGGCCGTGCAATATCATGCAGCTGTATTATATGTCAAGCACAGGACTCACGGGGAATCTCCATGCTGGGGTGGATGGCTCCCACGTTTTTAACAGTAGGTGGAGAGTGGCGACCATCGACGAGGTCTGACTCGGCGTCCTGAGCCTCCCCGTGGATGACAGCTATGCCCAGCCGCAGCCTCTCGGCGAAGGACTGCGCCCTGCGGCAGCCACAAGTCACATGACTCTCACTGGCGTCAGCTGACAGACACCAGCGGCTCGCCCTCAGAGGGCATTTAAATAAGATGAATGAATGGACGGATGAAAGGATGCGTGGAGAGGAGAGAGAGGGAGCTCACCTTTTAGCCGAGGCTGGCGACTTGGCCACAATAACGGCGTTCCTGTAATCTTGAATCTGCAGACACACAACGAGTCAGTTACAGCTCTGTTCTGGACGGGGCCACAGGCACAGAACACAGGGGCCAATCATAAGCACCTCTTACAAAACAGGCGACTTATTATTGCTTTGCTGCATTAACTTTGCGTCAAATTTGGATACCCCAAAGTATGAGCAAAGATCGGAATTGTGACGTATCGCGACTACCCGGTGCATCCTGTCCAAGTGAAATGGCTAAGCTGGCACCCCCAGAGAAGTTAGTGCCCTAGGCGGCCGCCTATGTCGCTTGTAGGATTGACGGCCCCCTGCCATCAAAGCTCTTTATGCACAAGAAATACCCAAAACATGTGCGGGCAACTTCCCACACAAAATCCGGGATGTATCAAGCAGAACTTGACGGGAAAAAAGAAATATGGATATTTACAGAAACCCAGGGGTGGGCGTATGCAAATATTTTGGATAAACTGGGAAAAGACAGCATTGTACAGCCAGGCACTGCAGGTAAACCAGCTATGTGACCACACACATGCCAGAAACTCAGATTTTTCCTGAGAAATACAGTGACACTGGCCCTGTGCACAGCAAGTCATTTCTATCTTCAGATCGGACCACTTTTTCTGTGTTGCTATTCAACACACTTTTCGCTTACTAGCTATTCTTGTGCTTAGACCCCCAAACTAATTTTATCATACTTCTACCATAAATTGCTCAAAAATTAAACAATTTTTTTTTTTTTAAATTTACAGTCAACGACTTTGGACCAGATAGCCCAGATCTGCATATTATACGAGTATACACTTCATTTGCCTGGACCGCTTATGGGTAAATGCTACACAGTGGGTGTGAACGCAGTGACTTCCGCCTGCTGTGACATCATGTAAATACTCCTTGCAATAGAAAGAGTGTAAGAACATTGGGTAAGAGGGAGACGATCTGGCAGTATTTTGCACTTGGGATGAGTAACACCTAATAGCACGGCCATTTGTAATCTTTGTAAAAACAAAGTTTTGAGAGGTGGAAGCAGCATTTAGTAGGAAATCCCACTAAACAAAGCATACAATTGTGCAAGACAATGTGAGTAATATGAAAAAAGCAATAGATGAGTTTTGTGCACTTGCTGCAGCTTGTGATACACGTGGGGGCAGCTATCGCGATGAAGTGACGCTGTGGCCAGTGGGAGAAACATAGTGGGACAATTGAAACATTCGCCACTTGCGTATGCTTTCTTGGAAGATATTCAAACTGAACTGTAAAATGCCCGAAAAACATTTCAAATAAACGAGGTGGAACAATATGTTATGTAGCTATGTTACCAGTAGCCTAATTAAAGTTTTTTGGCATAAAAGTTTTTATTTGTATTTTTGTAGTTTTAAAAATATTAATAACATATAAAGTATTATAAGTATTAATAGTATAAGTATTATATATTATATATACATTTATTATATTAAAAAAGTAAAAGGAAATCTTGTATCGGAATCTGTATTGCTATTGGCAGATGCGTATCGGAATCTGAAAAAATATGGATTGGCCCATCCCTGGTATATTGCATACATGTGTTTGTAGGCCCAGAAACACAGAGAAGACATACAAACTCTGGATGCAACATGCTGAGCCTGGGATTCCGGCCTACATATGACTATTATACTCCTAATCTCTGTTAAATTTAAATTTACAATATTGATACTGCATGGCAGTGACAACCCAATCTATGCTTCAGGGAATAGGGACAAAGCAGCCATAATCCTACCCATAATTCACAGCGACAACAGAAAACGCAGACAAACACGAAGTGACACATCAAGACGGGCTCTACCCCGGATCCCCGGCTGACACCGCAGTCTTACCTCCTCCTGAATGTACTGCAGCAGGAAGGGTGAGGCACGCAGGTTATCCACGGGGATGTTGAAGAACCCCTGGATCTCCTTCTGGTGCAAGTCCATGGTGATCAGATGCGTCAGGCCTGCAGAGACACAGAAGATGGCCTCGTTAAGTCCAAGCCTGACAGGCGCTTGCCGTGAGGTGACAGCTCTCCTACACAAGAGGGCGCCCGTTCGACTCCATACTCCATAATTGGACAAAAATCTTAATATAGTCTGGGAGCCCCTTACTGACCCGCCCGTTAATTAAGTGAAACATCAGAACATCCAAATCAAAGAGAAGGAGCAGCAGACCGGGGGGGGGGGGGTGAAGGGAGTCTAGGTTCCTTTGCTACTACATGAGGTGCTTATTGAAAGGGCTGTTCTGGTATTAAACCAGAGCTCTGTCCTTAAGGCCGAGCTTATGAAAGACCTTCAACCTAACCGTCCACACAGAACGACATCACAGTCACCTGACACCTTTGCAGATGTACGTCATGTCAATAAGGGGGAAATTAATCTCTCTTCTTATGGATGTTAGGGTGTTTATGGGACTGTCTACTGACACAGCAGAACAGGGCTGGTTTTCAAAAACGTGTATAAATTTGGGGAGACACAATTTTAACACAGGTATGAGAGAGCTGAGCTACCAACACTACTGAGCTCACTTCCATAGGTCATAGGACTGATTACAGTAGGCTTCCAAAAACTTACAATAAAAATGAAACATATTTTTAACATAAATATTTGGGCTGGCTTCCAAAATTAAGAGAACAGAGGAAGACGACGACATGTCTAACTGAAGTTGATGGTATGGGAAGTGGTTTCTGTTTGCAACGACCACAGAAAACATCTGAAATGACATCACGTCGGCCTCATCTGTCTCCTGCATATTTGCATTTGGCTCTCTGGGGAAGTTCTACTTTTCTCAAAATGGCTGCTCTAAACATGCAGAGGAGGCAAAGATCTCTAACCTGATAACAAACCCCACTGATGCTCTGCAAGGTGCTAAATCGCATTCCCTGAACAGCAGGCCTTCTCAAAGGCTCGTAGAGGCCTCTCACCGGCTTTGCACATCATGGAGGCCAGGAGCTTGGAGACGATGGAGCCCCTCTTCCTCATCTTGCACTGCTTGCTGTAAGGGAAGTAGGGGATGACGCCGATGATGTTGCGGGCGCAGGAGGTCCTGCAGGCGTACACCATGATGAGAAGCTCCATGATGACTGTGTTGACGTCTCTGCAGGGGTACACATGTCACCTTCACACAAGCAAGTTTCACAGTTTCAAGTGTGCATCTAGTGACAGTGCACTACATTGTTAACGTTCCTAAACCATGGGCCTCCCCTTCAGGAGACTTACTTGGAGACCGTCTGGATGATGAACACATCTTTCCCTCTCACAGATTCCTGGATCTGCACCCTTGTTTCTGCAACAACAGCACAATACAAGAGTCAAATGCCACCCAACATCCCAGAAACTGAACAACTACTTGTGTAACTCCTGATCCATAAACCTTAAAAGATGTAGGCATGGCGTATGAGCGTATTACTTATCCCAATGTCGCCCCCTAGTGGGCAATTCCATTTGTTTCACTTTACAGTTTCCAGGCAATTAAGAATATGGATACACTTTCATCCAATACCAGAAAAACAATGTAGAGGTAAAAGGACATTGAATACTTAGGTTATTCAAATAGAAACCACAGTATGAGATCATGCGTATTTTTTGAACAAGATCCCAGCTTTGTTTTTCAAGCTTATACTGCAACCCATTGATCACTGACTCCCAAACACACTGAATCAAAGTCAATCTTACAATGGAAACCAATGTTAGTAAAAATCTTCTGTGCAGCTCTCATTAGCAATGTAAATCTGGAAATACTGAGCGGCCAATCAATTAATGAAAGGTGAAAAAAATAAATCAAAGTAACTTCAGAGAAGGAACAGGGTAACTGCTTCATAAAAAGGCTGACTAATTAACGTCCTTCAATATACTAATACGCTGCTCTAAGATCATTAGTAAGCACACCGACAGCACTAACACATAAACCCCCCCCCCCCGTTCTTTTTCTGTAATCAATATGAAGGTTCACAAGAAGAAAAAACACTGAAAAACCAGAGCCATGACATTTTTAAAAAACATAGCTTTGATGAAAATGAGACAGATGACAGATTTTCAAACAAGGAAAATAGATTCATGTAATTTTAACAGAGTACAGAGGAGCCTTTTTCACACCAGACCTCTGTCTTTCAACAATATCTATGATTTTCTATGAACTGGAGGATTTAAAAAAAAATAAATAGTCATGTCACATCCTAGTGCCTTATGAACAGATGAACAGCTAATTCGACGCAGCAGAGACTATTGTAACTGACATGTTATCCTATAGATGCAGGGCATTCTCCAGAACATGTGGCCTACATTTGATATTCACTGACAGATAAGCATGAAGTTAACCCACATGGGACTTTGACCTGCACTGTGGAGTCCTTGGTAAAAAGGAAGCATGCGGCATTATGCTTGTGTACCATCCAATTTATGAACGAGTAAAAATATTTGCATTTCACTTATCATCATCAACACGGATATGCCGCCTTCTAATCATTTGCAGAAATGTCTTTAAAACACTGAGCTCAGAGACGTTAAACATTGACAGAAACAACTGAGGCATTTAAAACAGGGACTGCTTAACCGCTTATATAAACTGAACAGGTAGTAAAACTTTCACCGTAAAAGGATCACAAACCCTTTTTAGGAAAACATTTGTAGATACCGCAGAGTCTGTGTCACAACAATGGTCACATGAAACAGGTCAGGAGTGAAGCGAATAATGGCAAAAAGCAGGGTGCCGGGATGGGGCGTTTCCACCTGACCCAGTGACCTCAGCGTGTCCCCTCACCTCGATTGGCTTCTTGATACACCTGCACTTTTCCCATCTCAACTCCGAGGCGCCTGTTGAGAAACATTTTGAAGACCATGCAGTATATATACACACAAGGACAGAAATTCAGACAGGTTTCCATTACAAATACTATACATATTAAATTACGGTCTACTTCTATCTAACAGTAGTTCAAGGACAACAGGATAGCATCCCTTAGAATGGTTTGAACTGTAAGTATTTCCAGACATCTGACATGATACGTACATCCTAAACGTCTGGAGATGCTTAACCACGTACTTAAACACGTTCACACTTAACTCGGAACAGAGTGACCAATGCCTGGATGGAATTACACCCTTGGGTGTCATGCAGATAAGACAAAGGCTGAACGAACACCCAGCACAAGGTGACACAGCACATAAAGGAACCGGCCCCAGTCCTGCTGTAAACAAAAACCAGAAGCGTGTCGTTTAGATACAGACCGTGCTGAAGGGGCTGGGGACAGAAATGATGGCATGATCACGAGGACACCCACACCAGCAGGACTGAACACGTGTGTGCGAGTAAACCCAGCAAGTGTCTTTCTAATTACATAATTAGCCTTTGTGTGCATTTTAAATCAAGAGTTGGCAAGAGCAATATGACTCAAATTACAAACAAAAATTGTGTTTCCAAACAGGTGCAAGCTCCTATAGCTCAACAAGTAGAGCACTGTGTTAACAATGCAAAGGTCATGGGTTCAAAACCCATGGGGTATAGGTCTTGGGTTCAAATCCCATGGGGTATAGGTCATGGGTTCAAATCCCATGGGGTATACATAAATTGTAGGTCTACTGTAAGTCACCTTCAAGCATCAGAAAAACAAGCAAAAAAATCTCCAGGTTAAATAATTGAAAGGGCTTTGTTTTAAATGTAATAGTATGGTTAATATTTCAAGCTTTCAAATGGTGGAAAACATTTCATTTATTAGTTATTGCTGGATGCCAGTGGAGCATTTTGACAGGAGCTGAGCAGCCAGGAGGCTTCGTTAAGGCCGACACACTCACTCTGCGATCCTCCTGCCAAGCTCCATGCAGGAGGGGTTGGAGTTGGCTGTAAAGATGACCAGGCCTCCCTTGGTGGCATTCATGTCTGGCTGGACCTCACTGTCAGCTTTCTGGGGGGAGGAGAGCGGCTTCCGGGGCACCCATGCACTGCTGAATCCCTCCTAGAAGCAACAGCCATAAAGGTCAGCATGGCGTGGTTAAGGGATCGGCTTTGCATTGCATCGCTCATTACCCGGGGCATGTGTGTCTGCAATGGCGTGACAAGACACAATACAACAGCAGAGCGGTGTCCAGTGAATGACTGACAGCACTCAAGAACCATCACGCATCTAAACAACTGGTAAAGCCCACTGTTTATGCAATACATTTCTGGTGAGGGGCTAACAAAGCGTTGCAAATATTTTTATAGGTAGAAACTTTCAATCGGGGTCAATAATAACTAGCTTGTTGAATAATCCAACTGCAAAGTCAAGCTGTATGAGATGGAGGCTTACGCAAACATATACAACTATAGGTCATGCGGCTGTATGAAGGCTTGTAATATGTCATGTGAAGAGGCAACTGAATACTTAAGAGATTTCTAATCTCGATTCCTTTTCGTTAAATCTGCATTGAAGCCTGGCCGCGATAATTAGGAAATAAGCAGAAGTCACCCAATAAAACACGTGTATGACAGATGCAACTGCTAGCATGTTTCAGGCAGACATGTGGTCATTTCAAGTGAATTTATTTCCAGCAGGTGCAAGTATAGCCCAAGGTTCTGGTTCTGATCGCATCGTGCATAGGCTATATAGGAAGCTGTATTTTAACTTTAGATAACGACTGATCACAGCTGTTGGATAGCAACCTTCACAGGTCCTTCTACACGTATATATCACAGTTAATACACTGAAGAAAAATTACTAGTTGGTTAAACTGAAGGAAAAGTTTTTTTTTCCTTTTTTGAAACCACCTGATGTAGTCAAACTGTTTTGTCACGTTGTCAGCATGCTGCTGCGTGGATGTGATCTCGTTAGGATCACGAGTTTTTCTGACCTGCTATTTGAAAGGAAACTGGGCGAAAAGCAAAACGACGACACTCTTTGACCAGATGGAAAAACTCCAGATGATCAATTATGCCATATATTGCCACTTATATAAATTATTACTTCATTTATTAAACGGTCTCTCCCCATTAGCCTTGCTCTTGTTAGCCAATTTTTTAATTAATCAATATACAGTAAATTAATTAAAATTAGAAATGCACCTGTGGAATCTATATAAATAAATAAACAATATATACATCTCACCAGCTTCTGGTCTTTGTCCCACTCCAAATCAACCTTAGGCTACAAAACAAAAGTACTTCAACCAAACCTCAAATACGACGGACAGCTACCATAACCAATCACAGAGAAATATCGCTCCTGCCGAACCCCCTTTGCGAATTACATAAGGTTGTAACATACGATACTTGCGTTTTAAATGCTTTATAGCTGATTTGAGATCGGATTCGATTGTCAAGTTGTATTTTAGTCGTAATAAGCTATATCATTAAAACCGATCTCCAATCAGTGACAAAGGACTACAGTCGTCGTTTCGAACGTCATCTACTTCCGTGACGTACTTCCGTGTTGCGTCGTCGTGCTATGGAACGCTGTCACGCCCAAAAATGGCGCCTCGCATATCGGTACCTTTTGCTTTGCTTTTAGTTAAGTGTCGAGATAAAAACAACTTCGGACAGACGGAGAACAACGTGGTGCCAGTAGATCAAACATGACTAATATTTCTGAAAAATCAGCCTAAAAATTTCTCGGTCAAAGTAACTTTTTAATCTATACCTACTATTAAAAAAACACACGTGTGCAGTTTAGGGGTGGACGGGAGTACTTTTTTTTAAGATTTCGGTAAGAATTATATTATGGTAAATTGCTATTATTTTATTAAAATAAACGAAACTGTAACAATTTGATGCTTGCAGGTACTTCTCAAGCCAAATTATAGAATACAGTCTAAAATCCTCAAATGGTATATATTTAAAGTGGTATCCATTCATTCAACGACTATTTAAGTCCACCCCTAATAAATTTTAACCTATACATTACATTTTGTAACTGGTATCGTGAACCTCAATCTCAGAAGGAAGCTGAAATACTTGGGTGGTAGACCTGATTTTGTAATTAAAATGTAATTTGTTTGTCTAGATGTTACAATATTGCCTTGAACATTTTATTAGTGTAATAATTTTCGTATATAAATGGTAGTAGTTTCGGAATTATGTAATTAAGAATTTAGTAGCGTCAGGGGTTCCGTCAACTTCGCCAAGACAAAAAGAAAAAAAAATGAAAATAATTGGATTGGCCTCGGTTAGGGGCCCGATATGACATACGCTCATGAGGTCAACATCTCTAGCTAAGCTCCTGGGTGGAGTGATGATTTGTGGGCATTAACGCTGTATAGTGGAGATTTCAAGGAAGTGGGGGGGGGGGGGGGGGTGTTCGTTGTGATAAGAGGTGGGGTGTTTATTGAATGATAGGCCTATATATGACCTCGGAAAGTTTGTCATTTTGTTTGAACAACTTACACATATCTAGTTTATGTAACTTTATATAGGTCTATGAGTTGTTCTTTGTTGCTCTTCACATAATCCCACAAATGCGCAAAAAGTATTTTTGCTGTATAAACCAATCCCTGTGAAAAGCCATGTAAATACAGGGTTGCCAACTGTCACGCATTTGGCGTGACAATCATGTTTTCAAACTCACACTCAGGCATGAAACCTTACGCCAAATATTATTCCATTATAAACATAAATTTAGCTACATCAAAGGTTTTGGGGTAGTTTGCAAACACTACATACTATTTACAAGGTAATAAAACTGTTGCATACATGTAAAAGTGTCCGCATACTTATCTTGAATTGAAAATCTCACTCCAGCCAACTGACCAACTTAACCCTGGTAAATAACACACTGGGCTTCTAAATCTATTACTACAGATAAATCAAGAATTGTATTATGTTAGTTGTATAAAGATTTTGGGTAACATTTATTGTTATTGACCAAAACACTGAGTTATACGGGAATGTAGGCCTATAGGCGCATATGGGAAATAGTGACATGTTATTTCCCCACTCTGGTTAGAGCTGGATGAATCATAAAAGTTTGACTTTATTCCAGCTTCTTTCCACGGTACACCAAATTCTCAGATCTCTGTTGCCTCGTTTTCCACCAACTCGGTGTCAGAGCCAGTGCGGTGCTTTTCCCCCAATCGGGAACTGCTTCCGCGCATTTCCACTACAAAAAATCCAGCCCTAGGTCAGGAAAAACAGCTCCAGCACAGCGCCACAGGAAAGCTGGTCTCCGAATGTGGAACCGAAATCAGCTAAGGTGTCGTCCAAACCTTCCAAATACCCGGAAAATTCAATCCATAAATGATATAGTTTCAGGAACACCTTGGCAGCTTATTAGCGGAATAACGACAGGTATATTGCTTTTTTTATTCTGTGGAAAACGAAAGATCCATCTGCTGGCCAGATTTAAAAATTAATTATAAACATGTTCCAGGTCGAATAAATAAAATATTGTGACGCTTGATTGGTGAAGAGATCATGTGGCGGCTAGTAAGTGACATTTTTAACAGAACCTTACAGCAATATGCTGAATGCTCGCTTAAATATTCCGGCCTTGTTAAGTCTTATTGATTAAAAGTAATTACAATGGTTAAAAAATGGTTTGAGTTCCACTACACTTAAAAAATAAATTGCCATTCCCGACCCCAGAGCAATCAACTAAATGACTGATTAAGCACTATTCATTACATAGGGGTTCTCACATGGTTAGGGAATTTGAATTTATTTCATTAGGGCACTTTTTGTGGTGTGTCATTGTTAAAATGATGCATTGTGCATTTCCTCAGCCACTGTGTTTGTCAAAGAGATGTGATTCAGCTGACGTATTTGGGGTTATTTATTTAAGACCCAGGCCAGGTAAATGATCAGTGGTAGAGTAACGTTAGACTCGGTATGGATTTTGCACCCTGAGCTGGAAGTTTGGTCTAAGTTCCAAAGTGTTGGTGACTTGTTCGAGATAAAGTAGTCTTTCTTATCACGGCAGCCATTGACAGAGTTTGGAGAGTTTTTCTTTCACTCTCATTACACACGTTGTGTAGGCATGACATTGAGTTACTGAAGAGTTTAGGCTATACCTAAAATCCATACTTGCATTACTAGGTGGATTGATAGTTGAGTTCATTTTGGGACTGGCAAATGTGTGTGTGTGTGTGTGTGTGTGGGGCGGGGCCGATCACCGGCCGCCGATCACCACATGATCGGCCGGCTACTTAACCGCACTCCACCTGGCAGGCGGTGCGAAGTATTTTTGCTGTTCTATAAATGAGCCATACCAAGCAATCTCTTGTGTCTTGTCTTCCTGGTTCGTCTTGCCTGCTGTGTCCTGCCTGATCGCCTGTCTGCTTTCCCTGCTCGCCTCACCCATCGTGCCTGCCTCGTCTCCCTGTCGGACTCGTGTGTATACCCTGCCATCCTTCCCTGCCTTTCCCTGCTCCCTCGTCGGCTCTCCATCTCCCTCCCCGGATCCCCATCTCGTCCACCTGTGCCGGACTGATCATCACGGTTCCCGACTCTCGTCTGCCTCTCGACCACGATTCAGCACATCCCCCTTGGTTTCTGTAATACCCGGTTGCAGAAATAAAGGAATTTACCTCCGCATTTCGGGGTCTGCCTCCTCCCTGCTCGGCCGTGTGTGTGTGTATATATGTATATGTGTGTGTGTGTGTATATATATATATATATATATATATATATACACACACTGTGTGTATATATGTGTGTGTATATATATATATATGTATTATATATATGTGTGTGTATTGTGGATTTTTTTCAGCACCCCCACCCTCAGTTTTCATTACAGGTTCAATAGAAAATCAGTCTAGATGTTCCGATAGGCATTATTCTTGACACCGAATCAGTTTGAGTATATTTCTGAATTGATTAATTCCCGTACTTTAGTTAGATTTACTTGCTACATAAATAATAGTGCATCACATAAATACGCAGTTTGGTTTTATTAAAATGTTCCTTTAGAGACTGTGCCAAGTTAAAATCACCTTGGGTTTATTACATTGAATGTTTGAATTAATGTGCAAATATCGAATCCACAACTGACTTGCGAATGCTACACATTATGTACACTTGGGGGCGCTGTTTAATCGAGCCAGCCCTACTCTTTCGGCTATTTGCTGTCAGGCGTCGTCTATTACCATTAAGATGAACAGCAGAAATGGTACATTAAATGATACATTTTTATGGATGTTAGCTCACAAAGAAGTACATTACTGTGATTTGTCATCCTATGGTATTTATACGTCAGTAGGCTCATTTGTAGGTTATATACGCCTTGTTGTAGGAATAATTTGCAACAATTGTATTCAAGGAGTTTGGGTTGGGTGGCGTGGTGGCTCAGTGGATAGCACTATTACGATTGTGACCACCACAGTCCGTTTCTAACAATTTTCCTAAATAAATGACAAAAATGACTTGCCTCAGTGTCCACAGAACATGGTGGTGGAACATAGTGTGTACTCAGTAATAAACCGTCCTAGCTAATATTTAATGCCTAGTGCTTGTACTTGTTTTTCTAGTGTTTTTGGAGCACTTAACCCAGGATGGAGGTTGTTGTATATACAACCCTGCCACCGACGGACGCTGTAATTGCAGAACCTGTCACCAGGGGACTCTCTCCTGTCAGTTCTGACAGCGCTGACTGCAAGGTAGGCTGGTGTGACATCACAGCTGGCAGCACCTCCCAGGGAGGTGGAAAGTGTTAGTTTGTTGCTTTTGTGGTCACAGCTGTTTATCTAGAAACTGAATCTTTCATTAAATTATCATTTGTGAGACACTGTATTAAATGTGTCACTATCAACTGATAGAAAAGAAGCAACAGAAGTCAAACACCATATATAAACGTTTATTTAAAAGTAACAATCTATATGCCTAAATAAAGTCAGCTTTCTAAAGTGCAGCTCTTTCCAAAAGTAACACTGAATAAATTTTAATTTCAACAAAGAGTTATGACATCTTGTACGTCCATCCATCCGTCCATGTTCTGTACCAGGCCTGTCCTGGAAGGTACGAGCGTAAGGCAGGGAATATCCTTCGCAGGATACGCACGCTCACATATTCACCCCTACGGGCATGATTTTAGACTTTTTTTTTTGTGGGGGGGGGGACTGGAGAACTCGGAGGAAGCCCAATAATGACATGGGGAGAACATGCAAATTCCACGTGTGTACAGCTGGGCCAGAGACTCAGAGGTGTGAGGCAACAGTGCTAACTGTTGCACTGCTCCCCACAACTTGTGCAAATGAAATGAGTAACCTACAGACAAAAAAGTATTAAATCAGTAATAAAATGTGACGTTAATTGTAAAAGGAGTTCAAAGGCCGATGGGATTATGGGGTAGTTTAGATGTGGAGAAGGACTGGTAGCGGCAGCAGGCTAACAGAGGGATTTGTGGTGGTGGGAGGTAAATGGGAG